GGCGGCCTCTGCAGCGGCTGCAGCCGCTGCTGGAGGACCACCTGGACAACCTGACAACGCCATCGAACATTCGGACTACAGAGCCAAACTTGCCCAAATTAGACAGATTTATCATCAGGAGTTGGAGAAATACGAACAGGTTTGTAAATCTATCGTTTTTCTTTCTTTCCTATCAAATTTATGACATTGATAGAATTTATTCATTTAAATACGTGGATAGGAGAGGATAAAATATGAATATATTGAGAATACATCTTGATGATACATAAATATTAAATATTTTATATTTGCTATGATTTTTCATACTTGGATTAATGTTTTTCTAAAATTTACATCCTTTCTCCTTGGCATGTATGCGATTCACTAAGAATAAAATATTATATTTACTTTGTATTCTATTTTTATGGAATTGCAAAACTTTATTGATATTAAAAGTAAATAACAATATTAATAAAATCTGAAAATTTTATTTACATTTTTTTTTATCTTTGCGTGTATTTGAAAAAACTTGTTGCTTATTAATATGTTATATTACTTTTATCTTTCTATATTATTTTTAATTAATTGATCTTGGAGGATAAAAAAAACAAAATCCTGAAACGATTTTTTCAACTTTCATCAATAACTGCATAATTCTATCTAATAGGATAGTTTTTTCCAAGATATATTACAATATTAATTTAAAGTGTGAAACTTTAAAATTAAAACGCTCATACAAAAACTCTGACGCAATTATCCTAAGAAAACAAAGAAGACAAATATTTTATTCGAATAAGACAGTGTGCATTTCGCAATGGATCGTTTGAATTCGATTAAATTCATAATAAAAAAAAGAAAAAAAAAGTAAAATGTTTCCGAATGATCCAATGGTGATCGAATCGAAGGGGTCGATGTGCAGTTTTTGCGTAGAATTTTTTTTTCTACCCCTAGAGCAACGCGATAAGGGGCCAGTTAAGGGTAGTGGCAGAGAACCAGACTCGTCTCTGTTCGACGATTTGCGTGCTAATGAACCGACTCACTCGCGCTAAGTAAAATCTCGCGTGTCGGCCAACCGGAGAGTTGTATCGCGAATTGCGGATCTCTTTAATGCCAGCAAATTCCCTATGGGCTATTGTGTGTTTCGCGGTCGAAATTCAACGAAATTGTAAAACTTTACAATTACCTATGTCTCTACGTGTTATATATTTTTTTTTTTTTTTATAAAGCAAGTGATATTTTCTATCTACTATCTACTTTTATTTAGTTATAACTTGTTAACCGATTCCTTCTCTTTTGTTTAAAGTATCTTTTGTTTAAAGATTATTAAAATCATTCTTGCAGTTTAATAGATCAAAGAAGAATAGGGGTTTAAAGTCTAATATTTAATATAAACCAAATTAAGAGAAAAGGATTTATATTTAAATTATTTTATTTTACTTATTTTTTTTATTAATTATTAATAAACAATATTTTCTTTATTATTTCATCATAAAGTTTAAGCTTCTTATTGAGGTTGGAAACTTTTTCCTTAAAATCATAATTTTTATTGTTATTATTATTGTTTCATATGAGCTGTATAATTCTATGGATGTCAAACGGAATTGGATTCTTAAATTATTCAACTGTTTGGAATCTTTGTAAGAAATCGATATATTCAAAATTAAAATCTGTTATTATTTTGAATTTAGCTCTGTAATGTTTTCATTCCGATATACGTTCGATAAATTTGATATTAGTAAACATAATGATCTTGATGTTCGATTCTTTTCGATTTGTATTTATTAAATGTATTTATTAAATATTTGAAAATTTTTTATACCGCTTTCATTTCAATAACTTTTGTCGATATAGTTTATTTTATAAGAGAAATATATAATCATGTATAATTAATGAACTCAAAAGAGATACGTGTATATATATTTTCATAAGTGAAGAAATATAAGAAGAAAGTAAATTAAAGGAAATCTTATATTCGTAGAAAATGCAATATTATACATTAAACATACATGATATTATATTAGAAAGTTTTGAATCAAATAAATGAAATAACGATATAAATAAACTGAAATAAATTGAAATTGCTATATATTTGATATGTATCTATATTTTATATGCTCTGTCTTTCTCAATTAGACTTTCTGCATACGAATTATATAATTATATATGTAAGAATCAATTTCAAAAGTTGATTTTAAATGAAAAGAAAACTTCAATAAAGCAAATATTAAAATTTCGAAACTTATTTTACCAATGTTTGATTCTACTTGAAAGATATATAAATCTATACTTTCTTTGTTTTTAAATTTATAGAATAATTCGAATCTTTCTTGTTCAAATTCGAATCTGATACAATTATTTTCGACTTTATTTGCAATTTGGTCCAAATCGCTAACGGCGTCCATAGATTTTTCACCCGGGTTATTTTGCATTTCCAGTTCCAATCGCGAAAAATACAACGTTATTTACCACGCGCAAACGCCACGAACGCATATTCAATTCCTTCTTCATTAATATGCGCACGCGATTAAAACGAAAAGCATCGATGGCTTGTATAACGCGCACGATCCCCCCTCCCATATACTTATCAATGATAAAACCATATAATTCTTTTTAACGCCTCTCATGTTTTCCCTTCCTTTCGCATACTTTCCAAATAACCGTGGGCCCGTCACTCGTATACCTCGTGTATACGCTATACATAAATACCGAATCGCTCGCACACGCTAGTTCAGCGAAAAAAGAGAGAGAGAGAGAGATAGAATAAACAGAGCGATCGTTGGAAGGAGGGAGGGAGCGAGAGAGAGAGAGAGAGAGAGAGAGAGAGAGAGAGAGAGAGAGAGAGAGAGAGAGAGAGCATGCTTTAATTGCCACACCCGTTTCAACCCTATATTTCACCGTATGTCAGCGGTCTTGATGTTTCCCCGCAGTAAATACGCACACCCTTGCTTTGAGGTCCACCGACGTGTATATGCATGCGTGTGGAAATTCTTTGTAGACGCAACAATATGGTCGTGTGTCGAGAGGTATGCATTCGCGTGCATATACGTTGGTGAAACTGCAGTTACCAAGGGTAGTTGACGCTCTATCGATAAGCCTGGCCATTAACAAGTTTTAACCCCGTTCTCTTTTTTTCTCTCTTTTTCTCCCTTCATCTAAGAGTCGAACAGAGCAGAGTATCGAGTCGGTGATTTCGTTTTACTTTTCATTCTCCGGTTTTTCTTTTAACGTTCAACGACACGGCTGATCTTTTATCCCTTTATCCCAGATTAAATTCATTTCGTTTTTCGAGATAACGTCAGAGCGAGATTCACCGAGCGAAATAAAATCCATTTTTGTTTCCTTTTTTTTTTTTCTTTTTTTTTTTTTTTTTTTTTTTTTTTTTTATCATGACTCTATTCATACAGCGTTCGTGATTGTTATTTAAACGAACAACCATTGTATGCATACAATCGTTGTTCGAGACTGGTGTTTCGGATAGACCATGGTTGCACAGTTTGGCGAGGCTGGATAATACAATGTTTCGAGTTTTGGCTGGAAATATATTGCCGCGCTTAAAAGTAACGTTATTACGGTTGATATCGTCGTGGCCAAAAGTTTTATCATAACCGAAATTTACTATTCAAACTCCACGGGGTGGCCGGAGTCACTGCATTAGGGTGAACGTCTGCCTGACTATGCAAAATAGCGTGACAAGTACGAGAATAGAACCGCATCGAGTTTTACGAGATCGCGTGATCACGGCCAACAAACATCGTCTGGCATGAATCTTACTGGTGCATACACTCCTTCATTCTGTACGATTTTTAATGGATACAGATTTCAACTTTTTCTCTGCTTGATGTGTCTGCTCGTCTTCTAATTATCATTTCTTTGTAAGTTTGAAGGAACCAAAACATTTCTTTCGAGAGACTATTCGCGAAATCATTTCAAAACATCTTCAAAAATAAAATTAGCGTGAAATCAATAAAATCAGTGATTTTGTACAATTTTTAGAAATTTTGAAATTGATTGAAATTGTTCAAATCGTAAAATCAGTTAACCTTTAATAATTACTTTGAAATCACATACATTATGTTATGTTTATACGTTATGTTTCAATAATTTTCAATTTTATTGAAAATAAAAAAATATATATATTAAGGATATTTAAAGAATTAACATTTTTTAGTATAAATTCGATTTCATAACAAAATTATATGAAATCACACAGCATCTTTTTTTTGAATAACTTTTCAATTCTTTGAATAATCTTCTATTTTATAGGCCAATATTAGCAATTCTTTTCCGTTTTTTACGAGATTCAACTGGTCTTTTCTCATGTGAATATCATAATTTGATACAATAATGATCACAAACAATACATTTGAAAATTTCCACAAACGGTAAATTCGATTATATAAGAAAGGGAACTGTCGTATATTGTGGTAACCACAGAACAACCGCGGCAGACGTAACCGCGACCAGGTATATTTAGCAGCGTGCAGGTTGGAATTTCGATAACACTCGCGAGCCAAAAGGTTCGTGGTGCTATATCCTCGAAATACGTGTACACTTATTAATAGTGTGAACCGCAGCAAAATTAGAGCCACCATGAGAAATCTCATTTTCTATGAAGAAAGATTGTTACCGAAGTATTCGTCGTTTTTGCTATTTTAAGTGATCCACTTCAAGATTTTATAACATACATGAAGAAACAAAATGTCAAATTTCGTTTTTTTTTACAATAGTAAAAAAATTATTTATTGCACATAAAATTAATTTTATTATCATACAATAATATATTCTAATATCGTCTTTCTAACCTCACATGCACATTTCGATCATTTTTCATGACACTCTCATTTTTCCATTTATATCATACTCAGTATAGATTTTTTCGTATATTCTTATATGATCTCATTCATTCTCGTTTTGTGTTATATATTAACGATCTATAATTTTTCTTACGAAAATTTTCTAACGAAGAAACAAGTCTTGTCAATTTTCATCTTTTTTTATAAGAGCAGAGAAAAATTTGAATCGAAGAAACTAAATATTTATTTTAATTTATATTTATTTATTACACTAATAATTTTATTTTAATATAATAATATTGTGTTTTTATAATTTTACACGCAATTTTCATTCGACTTCCATGACACTTTACTTTTTCACCTATAT